GCCGAATTGTTTTTTAAGGAGAGCCCCTTTGCCCAAGTGAGGTTTTTTTTTTTTTTTTTTTCTTTAACATACTGACCTATGGCTTAGGTCAAGGTCAGTTAGAGCTCAGGATTATTGGTTGGCTTCACTTGCTACTGAATTCTGCTTCAGTGTGGAACAAAGACCTGTCTTCTTCGTGGTGCAAGGGGCCCAGCCCTGGGTGCAGAATACAGGGAAGGATGTGGGACTACTGTATTGAAGGAACCTTTCTTCGCTTGTCTTTATCAGTGGTCACAGCTCACTCAGTTGTGGGACTCTCTCTCCCTTCTCTCTGTAGGTTTTAATTTCTGCTGGTTGTCAGGAAGCTCAGAGAAAAACAATAGCACACATCCCCAATGAGAGTATAAGCAAGCCAACCGTTTGCGCCGAAGTATATGCCTAGAAGGATGGAGGGTAGTGATTGAGGAAAGTGCCGGTTAATTTTTTTTCTCTCTTCTTGACTGAAAGATGATTGTGAAAGGTAAAGTGATTGGCAAGGGAGTCCCCGTGTGCTTATAACTTTGTTTTGAGAGGATCTTATCTCCAAAATACTGTGTCTAGGTCAGCGAGGGGCTTTGTGTCAGGCGGCTTCAGCCAAGGAAGAATGGAGTCTGGCGCCATGAGAACTGCTGCAAGCTGGGATTTATTCTGCAGCTCTTCTGATTTGCCATTGTCTGGCCACTTTGCATCCGGATTTGTAAATGGTTCATGTTCTGTTTAAGTGAGTCTGATCTTTTAATGGTTTGTTGTCCTGGGGCCTGATCAATAGTAAATTCTTGATAGCACCTTAAAGATGGAACATATGAAATGCTGATCCTTGCAGACTTGTAGGCCAGGATTGCAAGTATATCTCCACTTAACAGAGTTCATTGAGAGGTGGGGGATGTGGAGGGTGTGCCACTGATGGAAAGTTGAGGAAAAGGAGGAACATCGAGATTGTTGTTTTCTTCTTATAGCAAACTGTGTGCTGCAGTATTCACTGTCAAAGAAAGCTCATTAGAAAACTGCTAGGAAGGGGGTGTTTTGTGAAATGGGTGATGGCTGCAAGTGCTTGTGCTGAAAACAATTAGCTAAGTCCTATTACAGATTAAGATTTATTAGAAACAAATTCAGTTCAAGGAAACATTTGGGAGAAGGGCAGTATTTTTGATTTTCCAGTTGTGGGGACTGAACCTGGGTCTTTGTACATGCTAGGTAAGTGTTCCCCCATTGAACTATCCTTAGGCTTCGGTTTTTGGAGACAGGGTCTCAATAAGTAGGCTGGGCTGACCTTGAACTCTTGCACTTCTGCCTTAGATTCGCAAGTGCTAGTTTACAGGCATGCTCCCCTATGGCTGGTAGGGTAAATGTTCAGTAAGCTAAGAGGCAAGCAGTGCGTTTTCTTCTTTCCATCTTTTCTAGGACTGGAGGTGGGAAAAGTCAGCAATCATGCAGGCTCAAGTCTTTGCACATGAGTAACAGATCTGAACTATATTCTTGGCTAGGGGGCTCTTTGATACTTGTGGTTTCTATTTCAGAGTCTGCATAGCCCCAAATAGGATGGGTAGGGATTAAAACTCCATAACTCACCCATGCTCCATTGCTTTCCTTTAAGCTCCCTGGATTCTAAATACTCTCATAGCTAGAGGCAAAAGTGGAATGTTTCCCACTCTTTTGACCACAGTTATGTTTGTCTTTCTGCCCTGCTTCTCACTGCCACAGCTCAGCAACTCACTCAGGGTACAGAAGGTGGGTGGAAAACACAGGTGTGCTCTACCTTTGTGTGAAGGAACAAGGGAAAAAAAACTTCTGGGATTGGCTTTAGAACACATGGCTTATAGTCTTGGTTTCCTCATTTTGGGATCTGGAGCAAACCACTTCATCTACAAATGCAATTCAAAATTAAGAAAAAGATGTTTGAGGAGAGGGGAATGCTAGCTATCTCAATTTGTTTTACTTTTTGAGAATTTCATATATGGGTACTGCATTTAAGTCATTTCCACTCCCTCTCTCTCCTCTCCAATTCCTTCCATATCCCCATCCCCCTAAAGGGGATTTTAAAAAATGTGATCTATAATTTTTGGAGCATAAGGTGATTATAACTTAAACTAATAGAAAATAAAACCAGCATCACTCAGAAAGATGATGACCACATTGCCCGTTTTTCTGCTGTCCTTTGATGCTTTTGTTTTTTTTCACTGCTAGGGATGGAACCCAGCGCCTTATGCATTCTAGACAGTCCCTCCACCACTGAGCTATATCCCCAGCTTCCTCCTTTGTTTTGATGTTGGCAGTTTCAGTCTTTTTGATGCTATTGAACATTTGCTAAGCACCAAGGCTAAGCGTTATTCAGAATCAATGATATGGCTCATGGCTTACAGCCCCAGGAAGGATGAGACACCTAATGTAGGTTATATATAGTTCATCGCACACATACCATTCATTCAGTAAATACCTGTGCACATACTATGTTCAAATCATTGTTCAGATGGTTATAAGAAACAGAATGAGTCACAGATGAATATTGTTCTCAAGAAGTTCTGAGGCTAATAGGGGAGACAAGACATAAGAAACAATTGTTTTATATAAGGTATTAAAGATTATAACCTTAGAGTGGGCAGGTGGAGTTGATGGCATATGACAGAAGGAGAGCTCATTTGGTCCGAAGAAAGAGGAAAGCAAAGGAGGAAGCAGCATCAGAGCTGGGCAGAATTAGCAGCATTTATCCCTTGTTAAGCTGTTCCTATATGCCAGGGAGTCCATATTTTTTACGATTCTGAGATGCCAGACTTTATAGGCAGGAAATGCAGAAAGTTTCTGGTAAGATAGGAGTACAGCTTGAGTTGCATTTTAGGAAAATTCATTTGAGAGTGATGTCTAAGACATTAACAATCTCATACAAATATCTGTGATGTTTTTTGGAGACAGGGTCTCATTTTGTAACCCAGGCTCGCCTTGAACTTATTTTGTAGCCCAGGCTGGCACTGACCACATGTGATCTTTCTGTTTCAGTGTCTTAAGGACTGGGACTCCAAGAATGTGCTACCATGACTGGCTTTATTTGTGATTTTCAGACACGTTTCGCATGTCATGAAATATTATTACTTACAATTTTCTTCAGTCATTAAAAATAGAGCTGATGGTGACACATGCCTTTAACCTAGCACCTAGGAGGTAGAGGCAGAAGAATTGACAGTTTAAAGCCAGCCTGGGACATAGTAGATTGTAGGGTATCCTGGAGTATATAGTGAGGCCTTGTGTCTAAAAATAAAAATCAAAACAAAAAAACTCCCTAAAAATATAAAAACCACTCTTAACACTGCAGGGGCAGGGTGACATATAAAAATAGATAGTAGGCTGCAGTTGTTGGCTGGAGTTGTTTGACCAGCTGCAGTTGGCAGACCTCTGGTGTAGCTATTTAACCTAAGCGGGTTTTGCCGGCAAGACAGTAAATGTGATTATTGGTAGAATAGAATTCTATATTTCACATTTTTTCAGTAATTAGTTTTATTTTTGTGTGCTATTCATTATGCCAGCTCTGGAGTCAAGGATCTTAGGCTCAAATGTTGTTGGAGCTACAGAAAGTGGGTTAACAGGGCTGGAGTGGGGAAGGGAAAATCTACCAGCCTCACCACCTTCAAAAGGCTTTTACATTCTTGGTTAAATTTTTTTAAAAATGGTTTTTGGGGGAAAGGCTTTCTGTGTAATCCAGATCTGGTCTTGATCTTGTGGCAATTTTCTTGCCTTAGCCTTCAAAATTCTGTGATTACAGGTATGTATTTAAACACCCAGCTATATTCCTTTTTAAAATATTGTTTTATCTAACCAAAGTGCTTTTTCTTTCTGCAATGTTGCGAATTAAACCTCGGGCCTCACATGCTAGAGAAGTGCTCTGCTACTGAGCTGTTATCTCCTACACATGCGAATATATTTTTATAGGCTAGATTGAGTGAATTGCAGTCCTTGTGCTAGATGATCTAGCTCTACTAGTCTGTGAATCTTGGACTCATATATTAGTAAAAGGGAGTGTGACAATCTTCAAGGAGAAACTTTTTTAAAGGATTGGGGACTTTTTGCAATCTGGCAGAAGAAGAGTGATGGCAAAGAATCCTAGACATAGAGATAGTTGGGTACGGGGCTGGTGGTGGGCATGGTGTTAATGAAAATTCTGAAGGGGTAGGTGTTCTATATAGCCTACTTTCATCTCGAACATTCCATTGCATATTGTAGTTTAACAATTTCAGAAAGCAATGATTAGACTAATTACAGAATCACATTTATACTTACATAAAATTTCAAAAAGTTTTAGTATACATGAAAGCATTCACTTGAACAAAATTCAAACAATTTTAAACTAGCTTTTGAAAACCAAGGGTAATAATGTGTATGTATGCATGCATATACAAAACAGATGTCAGAAAACACACGTAACCATATG